TCCATCAATGTATTGAATCTGTGCTGATATCCTCTTAGACAAATCAAATCAAGACCAATTTGCCAACGCCGAACGGATGATAGGCTTGGTGGGCTATTGGCGCGGCGATCGATCCCGTGTACGTTGTAGCGCGCCTCCGACCACTGCGCCACACGCGCCCTTAGAGTCACTGATATCTCGTGGAAACCTATTTATTTTCGATTGAAAGTTTTGTACATGCGAATATTGCTCTACTGGAATGTATAGTAAGAAAAATCACGCAATTTTTAAAACAGACCGATGTCGACGCGCTGGCCGAGAGAAATAAAAGCAATGATTAAAGACAACTTCATTCCGACATCCGATGTTCGTGTGTCCATAGACATAGTCTTAATCTATACAACGTATAAAAGTTGACAGGCTTGCTGTCTAAAGCACAACCAACTCATTACTGACAGAACGATTCAATTTGACAAAGTTACAAGAAAGAGAAAACGCACGACTCAATGATAAAGCAAGAAGCTTCTATAACTCGTTCTCGTAGTGTGATTTGCTGACAGAAAGAGTACTTACATTGGAAATTGTTTTAGAAAAAGCCAAAAATGGAATGTTCATGCACGGTTTTTGCGAATGGCCAGCTACAGTTGTCAATGAAAAACGTCAAAATGAGCGTAAAGAAACATATACAATAAATAGGAATATCTATTAACAGGAATATAACAGGAATAAAATGAACCTGGTTCTCTCACATTCTGTTTGAAACGCAGAAATGCTCTTGTTCACTTTTAATAAAAGATAACAACTTTTTGGTAATAATGTGATCCTCTCCATGACTCAAAACCGCACTTTCGTATGCCTGAAAGACTTAACTTGATCCAATGAACATTATATTGGGGAACAATAACTATGGTTGCCAGGTTTAAATATAACAACACTATAAGGCAAGATAAATTGATCAGATTGTCAGATTACTTTAAAACCTTAAAAAAGGAACACTGACATGATTTCTGATGGCAACTACCGATTTCACTGGATAAAAAAACAACGCGGGATTACATAAAAGATGCGAAAAGCTTTAAGTTAAGATAGTCAGAAGATACGTAAACTATCTTCAGAAAGAATGCAACGATGCGATAATATAAGTAATGCAGCAATCCTCGATAATTGTCAAACGGAAAATGTGTCAAAGAGAAAAAATAACACCTTATGCGATGATATGTTAGCTGTTAGTAGAAAGTAACATCCCTTCACAAAGTTACACAACCAGGAATTTAACACAAGACGAAGCCTAATGTCAGGTTTGTTGCGGAATGGATGAGTGCATTGTCACACAAGCGAAGCGAAGCGAAATCGCAGGCCAGATAATAGATGACCACCAACACTTGGCAAATAATGCGTTTTGGAATACCCGATCATTCAGGCACCACAAATCACACTGGCAGGTTACAATGGACCTAGCGTTTGCGCTGGCAAAAGACTCCAGTATACAAAAGTAAGCACTATGTCCCAACATAAAGCTACAACTCAGAAGCAACGCAATTCATGGACAACAAACACCTTGACGACACATTCGATGCAATGTCAGTGCACTCAGTTTTTCTGAAATTCTTGCCGATTCTTCACCAGCTGACAACCGCTGTGGAACACAGGTACAGCTACCAGTCACCCGAGTAGGAAGTGTGAAGTATATTCTTCACAAAATAGCAGATGTTCTCCATCTTTTTCTACCATACCATTTAATTCTTCTGCATCAGCTGAAAAGTGCCAACAGGTTCTTGCTCTGCAGTTGGCTAGCAAATGCTCTATAATGCCGTTGCATTCTAACACCTGAAGAATTTTAGAAACACTGGCTAGGAATGTACAACTCGCAATTTCTGGTAGAATCAATTGTGTTTTCATGTTTGATCTTTTACGCTCATTTCTCTCCTGACTATTACGAATTGACTAGTCGCAGCCATAGATACTCGTCGTCCTGCATCATTAATGCCATGAAATAACTTTCTCTTCTTAGTGTATCTGCTATACATCTGTTAATCTCGCTGAATTGTTTTTGTTGTATTAAAAGAATAAAGGATAAAAAGGTTAGCGTTGATCAATTCCCGAAGGAAGCGCATGCATTCGACTTCAGCAAAAAACACAGAGGAAAACGAATACATACTCGGTAATATACTCAAATGCATGGGACTAGCGTTGTATCTAGTGAAGGCTTTTATCAGTCTAGACAAATTTTATGCCATTTTCCCGAGTCTGGGGAGATAAAGTGCTTAATTTGTCCAAAGTGCAAAACCAAACCAACGACCACGCGTGTACCGCAGGACATCTCTGGCCACTGCGCTACACGCAGCAGAACTGTTGTATTAACCACTCATAGGTGTTTAACTACTCAAGTTAAACAACGGCAAAATGACGAAGCCCTTCCTGCATCACAGAATACTGCAGTTAAATATTTTACTAACGGATGTATCTGGTGCGCCTGCCAGCTCAATGAATACAGTACATTGGGATTTCTCAGTGACACAGATTCGGCAAAGCATTACTAGGCATTAAAATTCGAACTGTTACACCATTCGAGTCTAACCGATCGGCTTATTGCAAGAGCAGCTGGCGGGCTAAAGGAATAACAACTACAAACAGAAAAGCTCAATCCGCTCTATACAACCTGTGATGAGTCACTAAGTACCGTCTAGTATGGTTATCTCGGCATTCTAAGGGAAATTTCACTGAACCTGCATTCAACATGCCAGTGAGGAAAGAGAAGACGACAGATCCTCCAAATGCAATTAAACACAAAGACGAATTTTCCTTATGGATGATAGTTGCAAATAAGCCAATAACAGCAGGTAGTGTAAATATCTCACGGATATCCTTCATATGAGGGATCACGATAGCCGGTTAGTTGCGAGGTTAAGTAACGCGTCACCAGGTGGTGGATAGGTGGTAATTCGCGGACCAAAAGCGACCTTTGCTTCTCTGAGACGCAGATAAATCCCGGGGATGGACTCCCTGTTTCTTCTGCGCTGATTTGGCACATCCTGTATTTGCTAGGCGTATTCAAGCATGCGTGGGTGGGTGCGTTCTTGCTTATGCGGATTGTATTCTACGAGTTAATTCGGACAAAAGCCTGCAGTCAAGTGACAGGGAAGTATATGGGAGCAGGTTAGGAGTCGCCTCCAACAAATAAGCTCCATCTTCACTTTAGGAGAGCCTGGCAAGCTACCCGTGAGTATACCCAGCCCCAACGTTCAGAGCCAAGAAACCTATACGTAGGTAAAATGCTAAACAGCAAAAAAAAAACGGACCTCATTCCTCTGACCGTGAAAGAGTTCCCAATTTCGCAGCGTTGGGTAGGACAAGTTCGGAGAGGCTCAAAAACTTCAGGGCCAATGGAAACTGTCTGGATTACAAAGAACTAACGTAACGAGCTGTACCTATAATGCACGTACACTTGCATCTGAGTCCTCGATAGAGAACTTGCTCATGCGAGCGAGAAGGATAAAGTACGACGTCATCGGCCTGGCCGACACGAGACGATGTCACCCATTCAACGCCGTCTATTACACCGGAGAACTGTTCCTCGGAACATGCGACAGTAGAGGAGTCGGCAGCGTCGGCGTTCGCGTCAACACGAGTTTGTCCATGAACATCGATTCATTCGAACAACTTACAACCCGAATCGGACGTTTACGATTAACAAAATGTAGATCCATACCGGCATTGACAATCATCGTCGTTCACGCGCCGAGATTAAAGTATGATGAAGAAGAAGTCGAAGAGTTCCATATGGACTTGAAGAAGTTCTACAGAGTAGGCCATACATTCTTCAAGGTCATCATTGGAGGTTTTAACGCTAAAACTGGACCAAAGAGAATGTCTGATGAACATCACATTGTGACACATGTATTAGGATTGAACGAACAGGGTGAGTGGTGATCTGAGTTTATCATGGCAACCAAGACCATTCATGGTAACTCGCAATTCCAAAAGTGCCACCCTCAACGCAGGACATGGGAGTCTCCCAGTGGAGAGCACTACAACGAAATAGACCACATCATAGTAAATAGAAGGTCTTGCCTAAACGATGTCGCTGTTGTCCTAAAATTCTACACGGGATTAGGTCATCGCCTCCTTCCTTCAAGATTATATTTCTCGCGGAAAGGAGAAAAAGCGCTAAATTCAAAAACCTAAGTCGTAGAACCACCGTAAACTGGGACATGTTAAATTCATTAGTCGGCTGTTGGGAAGATGCCGTTATCGATAACAACGAAGAAGAATACGGTCGCCTCATTCAACATCTTCATGTTAGCGCTATGAAAGCTGACAGTTTGAAAGTCACCAAGAGATGTCTGTCTCCAGAAACACTCGAGCTGATACGTTAGCGTGGAACCGCATGAGATTCAGATAACCGCGAACTGACGTCCGAATTTGCAAAACAAAGCAGACAGGCGATAAAAGAGGACCTTAAAGAGAGAAGAACAGCAGTAATGGTCGAAGCTGCAGAGGCTGGGAAAAGCATTCGCAAAGCCCACCGAAGCTTCGCCAATTACAAGACCAACATGATTGCACTCTGGCGCCCAAACGGAACAGTTAAGTTGTCCAGAAATGCAATGGAGAAAATCATTCTCGAATACTACTAAGATCTCTCCGATAGCCACGTCCACCTTCCGTCATATGAAATAAAAAAGGATGGATATGTTGCACCATCGATTCTCCGCTCCGACATCCGACATGCCATTTTGTCGGTAAAAATTGAACGGCACCAGGTCCGGACAGGATAAGACCAGAACAGCTGAAGAACCCTTCGCCAGTCCTCGTAAACACACTGGCTCGGCTCTTCACGCGTTACCTGTCTCAATGCAAGGTCCCTGCTGAATAAAAGACCAGCAAGATTGTGTTATTGCTCAAGAAAAGTGACCTACACGATACCAGCAACCATCGCTCGATCTACACACTGTCTCTTTGACGGAACACTGGACAAAGGACAGCCATGTGAGCAAGTAGGGTTTCGAAAAGGATTTAGTACAATGGACCGCATCCACACGATAACAAGACTCATTGAAGTATCGCGAGAGTACAAAAGACCGCTCTGTTTCACTTTAATCGATTTGAAGAAGGTCTTTGACTCAAACGACATAGAAGCAGTCATGGAAGAACTTGATAGTCAAGGAGTCCCTACTCAGTACATAAGGATTCTTCGTGAGCTGCACAAAAATTTCACAACCAAGATATCACCATTCTACAACGATATTAACATTGACGTCAAAAGCGGAATTAGACGACGTGATACCATCTCGCCAAAATTATTTACCGCCACCCTCTAGAACGTCATGCGAACACTGGAATGGGATAACATGGAAGTGAAAATCGATGGCCGGCAGTTACACTATCTTCGTTTTGTTGATGACATCGTCTTTATAAAACCAAAGATTATCGAAGTGGAACGAATGCTTGCCGACTTTGATAGAGCCTGTGGAAAGACTAGTCTTCGACTCAATCTCACAAAAACGATGTTCATGAAGAACGGATTGGTTTCTCATACACCACTCACGCTCAACGGAACTAATGTCTCCAAATGCTCCAGTTATATCTATTCTAGGTCGGGAAATCAATACGATGAACAACTTAGCTCCAGAGATGAACAGAAGAAAACGGGAGGCCTGAGAAGCTTTCAAGAGCATCGAGGTGTAGTGAAGAGGACAAGGAACACCAAACTTTCCCACTTTTTCGACTCAACGGTTCTTCCTGTCCTAACGAATGCGTCAGAAACCTGGTCGCTGCGTAAGGAGGATGATGGTCATTCAGCGTTATCGAACGGGGAGTCGAAAGGACGATGCTAGGGGTATCCCAACTCACACAAGTTAGGGATGAAATCCGAAGCTCCGATCTGCGTCAACGACCAAAAATCAAAGATGCCGTTCTGTACGCCAAATAGTCGAAGATAAGGTGGGCCGGACACGTAATGCGTATGAATGACAACCGATGGACAAGAGCCGTTAGTGACTGGATTCCTCGGGATGTCAACCGCAGTGCAGAAAGACCACCGACCCGATGGTCAGAGTTCTTCGCGAAAAGCCTAGAAGAAAGATATGATGCTCGACGAGTTCCTAGAGCCAGCAGAACCAACTGGGTTACTCTTGAATGCGATAGGGAAAAATGTAAGATTTACTAGCGCCCGCACGACTCACTGGACGATCAACGGGACTACAGGTGATGCAGGTGATACAGTGTAAATATCTAGACAAAAATTATTAGACATTAACCAATTGGTTTGCAAGGTAGACGTCCGTGATGATTTCGAGGCTAGTGAGAGAATAATTTTGCTATGGCAAAATGACCCTGTAGAAATCCTCATTTTGCCTCAGTTACCATCCCACTGAATTATAACGCGTTATAGGCGGCTATTGGTTATCAAATTGCTACATGAAAGCTTTTTGAATAATGAACAAGTGTAGCTGTCCAAGGTTGCAGTGACTGGACACATTTATCGTTTAAATCGAAGGCATAATTTACGTTAAAGAGGATAAAAACCTGCTATGTTAAACCAATTAATGTTTCTTACAAATGAAATCTAAGCGGGATCGACGAAAACAAGCCAAAACTAGTAGTAAAATATGATAACTGCACTTTAGAAACATCACAGAAAAAAGATAAAGGAATAATGGGAACCTGCTAACATAGATCAATTGAATTGGTTACTTCCTGTAGACTTAAGAGAACAACTTCCACTCAAATATGCTCTCTAATGGACACTTAGATACTCCGTGATTAAAATTAAATAGGGCATTTGTGTGGTTATCGACTAAACACGAGTCAACAAATAAAACAGAAAAAGAAGGCCGGTCGCAGAACAAAGGTATCCCACAGAAGAGCCCAATGATTCAATAAAAATTTCCAACGCACCTCCAGTAACAGTGTACGTTTCTGTTCAAGTGAATATTTATCTGACATGTTTAGGAAAGCGAACCATAGTCGTTGCGTTAGCTCAGGATGTCCAAGTGGAAGATACTTTCTATAATTTCATAGATAAGCATAACAAGAAGCATTGGACGAGAAAGATAAATAAAACCATATTGTTTTACCTTTTATTTTCTGCCTACTACAATTTTCACGGAAGAGTATTACGCAAAATACAACCACAACGATGCTGAGGTACTTGCAAAACTCCAGACCCCAGATGTATGCGGTGGGGAACAAACGCGCTATCACTCTTTCCGTGGGTTAACGTGTTCACCACCATACCATGCGGGTCCTTCGTTTCGCCTGTCTCTCAGCTAGTTCTACCGATCTTTTGCCGTCACCAATCACCCGTCAGCGGGTTTGATCTGGGGAGCCCAAATCGGCAACGAACCCAGTTAAGCTGGGGCTGTAGTTATAGCCACAATTTCAACTTATTACTTACTGTCTACTCTTTTTTAATGGCAGGGTGTATTGCGAAATATAACTTCAATGATGCTGAGGTATTTGCAAATCTCGCTGACGGGTGATTGCTGATGGCAGCGATCGATAGAACTAGCTGAGAGAAAGGTGAAACGAAGGACCCGCATGGTGTGGTGGTGAGCGCGTTACTCCCCGGAAAGGACAATAGCCCGTTCGTTCCCCACCATAGACATCTGCAGTCCAGAGTTTTGCAAATATCTCAGCAACGTTGTGGTTGTAAAACCATATTTTTGCATTTATTACAAAACCATCAAAGTGCAGTTTCAGAGCCGCTCATTGATAACACCTATGAAAATACGACTGCTATTGACCACAAAAATACTTCAATCACAATTACAACACACAGTGATCATAGCGTGAACGACATCCAAACCGAAAAGACGAGATAATTATGGAAAAACCAGAGGCGTGCATAATAACAGTGAACCACTGAACCAATCTATTCCACCTACTAGACAGTTATTCCACCAGCTTTTCTCTCATAATGGTAGCCCCAGGTATAGGCATTTGTTAGTGACGGAGAGCATAAATGTCCCCATCGAATTAGCTCAGGAAGCCAGGACAAATTCTGCATCGGCTAGGAATTCTAGAAGATTATTACTAAACTAGATTATTAGTCGTATAAATTTCAAGGAGGGAAAGGATTTAAATCCCGAAGAAAGTCGGAGTCAATTAATCGGAGTATAGAAAAAGAAAACAAGATCTCTATCGGAAATAGGAAAAGCTTTACGTTATAATATCGCCGAAATATCCATTTTCATGAACCAAATAATTCAAGATGGTAATCATACAACAATTACACGATTCAAGATATCATAATATTGTATTTCCAATGGTTTCACTGAGAAGTTCAAATCGACTAATCGCCTTCCTCGTGCTCATCTATAGAAACCTGCATATACGACAGCTGACGGAATTTCACCAAGGATTCACCTATTCAAACCATATCTAGACATTTATACAATGTTCAATAGTGGAGAAATCAGGTCACTACCCTACTACTTCACCTTAGCTCGAACAATTAATCGTGGGGAACACTGCCGGTCATGGTTGGATCATAGTCGCGCGGCAGGAAACCTGTCTTCAAACCATAATTGATGGCAACCATTTGTTGAGTAGAGCTCGGTAAACTCAAATACTGTTAATCCTGGATTCTAACAAAACCATTTACCATCAGCATTCCACTATAAAAGGAAGAAATAGACTATAAATCATAAACTAGCAACGGAATTCACAAATGAACCCGACCACTAAACGAATGACGGTTGTCAAGAGAATGAATGGATAGAATAAGTGCTGTGACCCACAGAGTGCGAACACCGTTAACAACTAACTAAACAGCTTCAATTTGGTACATTTTCTCGAAGTATACAATCTTGAAAGAAATGTCGTATTGTCATTAATACTTCCGACTTGAACTTCTACTGGATGGTTATGTAAATCTAAAACGGATTTGAAGGTTTCAATACAACTTAACCCAATTATCACGAGATTCATCGACAGCCGGTAAATCTGCTTCGTAATCACTGTTAATAATATGCACTAAAGCGCTAGCGATTAAAAAAGAAGATAAAACTCTCGACGTTATCAACCTCTGGGTGTGCGCATGCATCCGACCTCATTAAGCACTGCTAGAGGTGATTGAATGCACATCTGGCCTATACATTCTCGGTGGCCTATCGTTGTATCGAGCCAGTGCTGCTATCCTCCAAGACAAGTCTGGCACCAATTTGCCAACCCTGGCGGAATGGAAGCATTGGTAAGCCTCGGGCGCGGGGTCGATCTCATCTATATTGCAGAGCCTCTAAGCACTGCGCTATTCGCTCTCAATGTTAGGGAACAGAAGGAAAAGTCGTATTCTGGTGATGTACGACAGTCTAAATAGTCGGATGCGGCAAATCTTCATAACCAAGTTCATGGTCGACTAATTCCGCGAAATTCCTTACCTTCTGAGGGAATACATTAACGTTTTGCAAAATAATACATGTTCAGTAGTTCTTTGCCGAACTGCTTGAATCACACTTGCGCAATTTCAATACATCGACAACACAGTGTAAAACAGAGTACGCTGCATTACTTCTGTCTTCTCCTCGTTTCAAACTGGAGATTTTTTGAATGTTTCTCTTGTTTCATTCCAGAAAAAACATCCTTTTCCATTTCCTACTATTATCAGCTTCAAGATCTGCTGATGAAGGAGAGCTTGGTAGAGGCACAGGAGAATAGATTAACGATGAAGTTTCCAGTCTTCCCGACAAAAAATCTCGATGCTTTCCTCCACATATCCAACCCCTTTATTGACACATTCAATGAGGAGCCAACTGGTGTTCAATTCTGTCTAATGTTCTAATATGATATTTGAATGCCCCGCCCTCACTGGATGTGCGGGCCCCATCATAATCGCCATTTTTCGGAGATTTGCTGGTTAAGCCATTATGGTTCCTTAGAGTCCCGAGGTCAACCTGGCCAAAGTCTGCCCCAGGTCTTCACCACAACGGGCAGTTGCAGCCCTTGTGGATCAGAGAAAGATTTACCACCATACGACTTTGATACTAGGACGGGGATGGATCCTGGTATTGGTTTACTCTTAGCTAGGCTTCTTGATGGAAATGCCGAACTCCTTCTCAGCTTAGGAGACCCTGCCAGCGGATGAATCCTCCGCTGTACATCGCAGTCCGACACCCAGCAACACCTCCCAGCCACGATGAGGCGGCAAACCGTTGGGAGGAATGTTCTAATATGTATACCTTAAATCCAACTAACTTTTCTAATAAGTCCTTAACTCCACATGTCATTCAGCTATTGGAAAACTGTAAGGTATTACAATGTTTAACGTTTTTGTTTTCTGCCTTCTATAATTTTCATGGCAGGTTACTAAGCGAAATACAACCACAACGTTGCTGAGATATTTGCAAAACTCTGGACCGCAGGTGTCTATGGTGGGGAACGAACGCGCTATTATCCTTTCCGGGGAGTAACGCGTTCACCACCACACCATGCGGGTCCTTTGTTTCGCACGTCTCTCAGCTATTTCTATCGATCTATCGATCTATCGATATTTCTATCGATATCGAGCTGACGGGTGATTGCTATGGCAAAAAGATCGATAGAAATAGCTGAGAGACGTGCGAAACAAAGGACCCGCATGGTGTGGTGGTGAACGCGTTACTCCCCGGAAAGGATAATAGCGCGTTCGTTCCCCACCATAGACACCTGCGGTCCAGAGTTTTGCAAATATCTCAGCAACGTTGTGACTGTAAGGTATTATTGGAAGACCAGCATCACCCATGTAGTAAGGCATGTAGATGTCAATTACTAACTTCAGTTCCAATCACTGTGATGAATCATTGTCAACGTATGAAACGGAAAGGCATAAAAATTACATGTGTAGACTCAAGTCAAG